TGTCACCTGTTCCTCAACGAGAAAAGGACCACAGAAGCGAGGTCGGAGTTTGGATGGTAGATGAGACAGGTTCAAGTTGCGCGTGTCGAGAAGCACCTGATCTCCTACTGCCACTGAGTGATCTCGTCGCTGTCGATCGGCATACTACTTCTGGGAGTTCTGCATCGTGGTGAGTCATCGCTGAGTCTTCTCCCATAGCTGCTGCATGGTGGTGACAAAGTCATGTGCGGCCTGGACGTGTGCCGGTGTGGTTGGCTGCTGTGGCGTAAGTGGTTCCCGTCCGTAACACAGGAAGAAAGGAGTTTTCCCTGTGGCCGCATGTGACGCGTTGTTGTAAGAAAACTCTAGGGTCGGTAACTGTGTGTCCCAGAAGCTGACGTCGTCTTTGCAAGCTGTGCGCAGTAACTGTTCAACCACTTGATTGAGTCGCTCTGTCTGTCCGTCAGTCTGGGGGTGGTATGCTGAAGACATCGCAAGCTTAGTCCCAGACAGTCCCATGAGCTCCTTCCAGAAATTACTCGTGAATTTGGGGTCTCTGTCTGAGATGAGTGTAGCGGGGATTCCGTGGATGGTGATGATGCGGTCGAAGAAGAGGCGAGCAGTTGCTTCAGCTGTAGCTGTGGCGTTGGTCGGTATGGAACTACGAGGATGGAATCGTGCCCCCGTGAGGTCGAAGGAAGTCCTATAATGAAGTCGAGGCTAACGACCTGCCATGGCTACTACGGTACGGGTAAAGGCTCAAATAACCCTGCTTTTTTCTGCTTGCTGCTCTTCATCCGCTGGCACGTGTCGCAAGAGGTGACGAACTACTGCACGTCTGCTGCCATCCCGGGCTAGTAGTAATACTTCGCTATTCCCTCTAACGTTTTGTTGCTCCCGAAGTGTCCCGCGTAAGGTACGTCGTGAAACTCCTCCAATAGGATCTGCCGTAGCGGGGCGTAATTCGGTACCCAAATCTTTCCTGAACCCTTCCTCACCGCTAAGTCCTTCTCCCACTGTAACAACTTCTTTGTCTGAGCTGTAGCGATCTCTGCGTCCACGGAGTACCCATGTTGGAATAGACCCTTGAGCAGAGGGTTCATCCCGTCGAGCTGGATGCCTGCTACATGTCCGGGGCGGCTCAACGCGTCTGCCTTATTGTGTAGCCTGGGCTTGTAGACGATGTCGTAGTGGAAGTGAGTTTCCAAGAAGTCCACCCACCGCAACTGTCGTCGTGAGAGCGTCGGCTGCGACTTCAGGCATTTGAGACTGCAGTGGTCAGTATAGACTGTAGTATTGGCTCCCTCTAGGTAACACCTCGACGCCTTGAAGGCTACGACTATTGTGAGAGTACGACGGCTTATGCCAGCTATGCTTGCTTGCCTTTCTTTTTTTTTGCTATTTCTAGCATAGGATAATTATATGCATGCATGAATTGCTTGATTTCCTAGACTAGGTGCTTTCCTATATTTTATTATAGTTATAGCACCGAGCTAGGTTGCGTGCACCGAATTCTGGGCTTTTCGGTTGCCACCGAATTGCCTTCTACCGAATTCGGGAAGGCTCTGTTCGGGACGCTTCGCGACCCTCAGAACCTTCGCGTAACACCTGGTTACGGGGCCTTGTGTCGAGCCTATATATAGCCTCGTGTTGTACTCAGGTGATCATTCAATTCACATTCTCTTTTCTGAGCTCGATCCTAGATCCTTACACTTGGTAATCAGAGCCGTTTACACGCAAAAGTTTTTCGACCGCTAAAACCGAGTCTTCAAAAACCGCAGGGGCGACGCTGATAAACACCGATTTCGGGTACGTAAAACCGGTTCCGTGTTTTTCGCTCCTCCTCGTTTCGGTTTTTTTTCGAACGCGCAATGTCAGGCATGGAGGGTCAAGGCGACAACTATGCGACCACGAGCGACATCGCGAGCCTCCGCACCGACATGGAGCAGACGCAGGCGGCGCTACGACGACTCGAGGCCCTTCTGGCACACCAACCAGGAATCGCCACCGCAGCAGCAGCGAATGCAGCAGCGAACGTAGTAGCGACAACACCCGCAGCAGTGGCGACACCGACATTTCATGGACCGATGGCACCACTGTCGCCGAACCTCGAAGCAGCACGACCGAGGCTCCCTGAAGCGTTCGATCCCAGCGCGAAAAGATCCGACGTTCGACGATTCGTGGCAACCCTCGAAATTTACTTCGAGGCCATTGGCTGTTCGACCCCGACACACGACGCAGCAAGGATTCGGCTCGCAGCGACACTGTTACGTGGACCGGCATTGGACTGGATTTACTACACTGACGTGGCCCGCGGTGAGAAAACGTGGCAGCATTTTCGGGCAGACTTAATTGAGCGTTTCGAACCCATTAATACCCACATGGGTACCCTGTCTATTCCAACATGGGTACTCCGTGGACGCAGAGATCGCTACAGCACAGACTAAGAAGCTGTTACAGTGGGAGAATGACTTAGCTGTAAGGAAGGGTTCAGGAAAGGTTTGGGTACCGAATTACGCCCCGCTACGGCAGATCCTATTGGAGGAGTTTCACGACGTACATTACGCGGGACATTTTGGGATCAACAAAACGTTAGCAGGGATAGCAAAGTATTACTACTGGCCTGGGATGGCAGCAGACGTGCAGCAGTTCGTCACCTCATGCGACACGTGTCAGCGGATGAAGAGTAGCAAGCAGAAAAAAGCAGGGTTACTTCAGCCTCTACCCGTACCGGAGCAGCCATGGCAGGTCGTTAGCCTCGACTTCATCACAGGACTTCCCTCAACCTCACGGGGACATGATTCCATCCTCGTAGTCATCGATAAATTCTCCAAAATGGGTCACTTCATCCCGACCAACGCCACAGCTACAGCTGAAGCAACTGCTCGCCTCTTCTTCGGCCGCATCATCACCATCCACGGCATCCCCGCTACACTCATCTCAGACAGAGACCCCAAATTCACAAGTAAGTTCTGGAAGGAGCTCATGGGATTATTGGGGACCAAACTTGCGATGTCCTCAGCATACCACCCACAGACTGACGGACAGACAGAGCGACTCAATCAAGTGGTTGAACAGTTACTGCGCACAGCTTGGAAGGACGACGTCAGCCACTTGGACACACAGTTACCGACCCTAGAGTTCGCTCACAACAACGCATCACATGCGGCCACAGGGAAAACTCCTTTCTTCCTGTGTTACGGACGGGAACCACTCACACCACATCAGCCAACCACACCGGCACACGTCCAAGCCGCACATGACTTCATCACCACCGTGCAGCAGCTATGGGAGAAGACTCAGCGACGACTCACCACGATACATACCTCCTAGAAGCAGTATGCCGATCGTCAGCGACGTGATCACTCAGTAGCAGTCGGAGATCAGGTGCTTCTTGACACACGCAACTTGAACTTGTCTCACCTCCCATCCAAACTCCGGCCTCGCTTCTGTGGGCCTTTTCTCGTTGAGGCACAGGTGGCACCAGTTACATTCCGCTTGCGCTTACCAGATACGTGGAAGCTTCACAACGCTTTCCATGTCCAGCTACTGAAGCCCTACAAGGACCCCAACCAACAGTTCCAGGGACGGCAGCTACCGCCACCACCACCTGTTCTCATACAGGATGAACCCGAGTATGAAGTGGAACGTGTTCTCACTCATCGGCGCCGCGGCGGCAAGACCCTCGAGTTCCTGATCCGCTGGAAGGGATACGACCCCACTGAGGACAGTTGGGTTGCAGAAGCTGATATGGGCAATGCACGCCGTGCTCTCAAGGACTATCTTGTCAAGCAGGGTGTATCTCACGCCACCCAACTTTGAGGGGGGGACGTGTGAGAGTACGACGGCTTATGCCAGCTATGCTTGCTTGCCTTTCTTTTTTTTGCTATTTCTAGCATAGGATAATTATATGCATGCATGAATTGTTGATTTCCTAGGCTAGGTGCTTTCCTATATTTTATTATAGTTATAGCACCGAGCTAGGTTGCGTACACCGAATTCTGGGCTTTTCGGTTGCCACCGAATTGCCTTCTACCGAATTCGGGAAGGCTCTGTTCGGGACGCTTCGCGACCCTCAGAACCTTCGCGTAACACCTGGTTACGGGGCCATGTGTCGAGCCTATATTGTGAAACTTATATGCTATAGTCTGTGTAGGCTGTAGTGGGGTAGACAATATAGGGTACAACACTTTTAGGTTTTCCTACTTGTACCCACCTGTTTCCTAGTGCATTCATTCCTCGTTATTTCACATAGTATAGAGCAGGTTCCCTAGTGGGAACGCTTCCTAGGGCCCACCACGATCAAATTTTATTTTTCCCTGCCCGGAGCGCGCTTCGCTCCTGCCCGAGTCGCGCCCCGTGTGCCTACCCTCCCGTCGCGTCCCCTGCCCTTAGCGGCCCGTCGCGCCCTCGTAAGGCCCCTCGCGGCCCCTCTCACGGCCCCTCGCGACCCCTTCGCGGCTCCCTCGCGACCCCTCCGCCGCCCTTCGCGGCCCCTCTCACGGCCCTTCGCGGCCCCTTACGGCCCCTCGCGGCCCCTTCGCGGCCCCGTCGCCGCCCTCCGCGGCCCTGTCACCGCCCTTCGATGCTGAGGGTCGGGTCGTTGACTTTGAGGTCTGGGTCGATGATCTGCTGCTTTTCCTACAGTGCGATAGGAAAGACGGTCTCTCACTGTTCGATCTCACATCTACTGCCCCTGTTGCTGATGCTGACAGCACTGTTCGCTCACAGTGGGCCACTCGCGATGCTGCCGCCCGTCTTGCTGTGCGTAGTCACTTGCCGTCCTCTGAGCGCGCGCACTTTAGTTAGTACAAGAGTGCTAAGACCTTGTACGACGCTGTCATTGCACGCTACTCTTCCCCTGCCACTGCTGCTCTTAGCCGCCTCATGCTGCCGTACCTGTTCCCTGACCTAGCCGCCTTTCCCACAGTCGCTGACCTTATTACGCACCTTCGCACTAGTGACGCCCGCTACCGCGCTGCGCTTCCTGCTGAGTTCTGCGCCAAGAACCCCCCCCCCCCATGTACATCACCCTCTACTACCTAGTCACCCGGCTCCCTGACTCCCTTCGTTCGGTCAGGGACCACTTCCTCTCTGTTTGCCCCACCACACTCACCGTTGACCTCCTCGAGGAGCGCCTCCTGGAAGCTGAGAAGAGTATAGTCGCTGTAGGAGCCTCTCGTGGTGACCCTCGTGCCCCCTTCTTTGAGGGGTGCTCCCCCTCCCCCCTTTTGCCCTCTGTTGCCTCTGCTACTGCCGTCGACTTCGTTGGCACCGAGTCGGTCGGCGCTGCGTCTGCCCCTAGCGGGAGACGCCGCACCGGCAAGGGCAAGGGGGGCAAGGGCGCTGGAGGAGCTGGCGGGGGTGGTGGAGGTGGCGGTGGAGGCGGCGGAGGGAGTGGGGGTGGCGGTGGGAGTGGTGGCGGGGGTGGGGGCTTCGGTGGCGGCGGTGGAGGCGGCGGCGGCGGCGGCGGTGGCGGTGGGAGCGGCGGTGGCGGCGGTGGCGGAGGTGGCGGCGGCGGAGGTGGAGCTGGTCGGGGTGGCTCTGCGCAGCGGGGCGGCTTCGGTGGTGGTCAGCGCCAGCAGCAGCAGCGCACTCGTGAGACCCCGCCCCCCCAGCAGCTTCGTGAGTGGTACGCTGCGCGTCAGAGGGGCGGGGGTGCTGGTCCTTGTGCCTACGTCCTGCGTACTGGCGACCGCACTGGTGAGCCGTGCGGTGGCCCGCACACCACCCAGCGCTGCTTCGGCCGCCTGACGGACGCTTGGCATCTCCAGTTCCCTGACGCCACTGAGATCCCCCGCTGGGGCGAGCTGCTTAGGTCGGGGGTTGCTATCTTTGATCTGGATTATGATGCTATTCTTGCTGCCATGTTTGTTGTGTCTACTAGTGATGAGGGTGACTGTTACCTGTGTGTTCCGCCTGACCCGGGCATTGAGGCTGCTGCTCTAGGTGCTGGTGAGGCTGCTGCTCTAGGTGCTAGTGCGTCTGCTGCCCCAGGTGCTGGTGAGTCTGCTCTCTCAGGTACCACGTCGGCTCAGGCCTTGCACACTTTCACCCTTGACTCGGGTGCTTCCCGCTCTTTCTTCCGAGACCGCACCACGCTTACGCCGCTTAGTCGGCCGGTTGCGGTCTCCCTGGCGGACCCCTCTGGGGGTCCTGTCCTTGCCCACTTCTCCACTGTCTTACCGTGTCCGGCGGCCCCCCTCTGGCACCCTGTCAGGTCTCTACCTCCCCTCGTTCTCTACGAACTTGGTGAGTGGTGCTGATCTACAGGATGGGGGGGTTGACCAGTTCACTCCTGCGAGTCAGCGGGTGACCCACTGTACGTGTGCTCGGACGGGCCGACACTTGGCCACGTTTACCCGTCAGCAGGGGTCGAGCCTGTACACACTAACTACTCAGTCTCCTCCGGTTGCTGAGTCTGGTCAGGTAGCTGCGTCGGGTTAGGTGTTTGCTGCAGCGTCCAGGATTGGTCCTGAGTCTGCTCCCTGCTCGTGTCGTCTCCTGTCCCACCGGACTCTCCTCTGGCACCACCGCCTTGGTCACCCCTCCCTGCCTCGTCTCCGAGGCATGGCCTCCCGTTACCTTGTCTCTGGTCTTCCCCGGTCCCTCCCTCCCCTCCCTCCGGGGCCTGCCCCTACCTGCGTTCCCTGCGTCGAGGGGCGGCAGTGCGCCGCTCCTCACTCCTCCGAGTTTCCTCCGACAGAGGCTCCGCTGCAGACTCTTCACATGGACGTGTGGGGCCCCGCCCGCGTCCGTGGCCAGGGTCACGAGCGTTACTTCCTGTTGGTGGTTGACGACTACTCGCGTTACACCACGGTGTTCCCCTTGCGCAGCAAGGGTGACGTCACTGAGGTGTTGATCGACTGGATCCGCGCAGCTCGTCTCCAGCTCAGAGAGAGTTTCGGCTCGGACTTTCCTGTTCTGCGTCTGCACTCTGACAGAGGCGGGGAGTTTTCCTCTGGCCTTCTGGGAGCCTTCTGTCGTGCACAGGGCATCCGCCAGACGTTCACGCTTCCGGCCTCTCCACAGCAAAATGGGATTGCTGAGCGCCGCATTGGCATGGTCATGGACGTCACTCGTACGTCCATGATCCATGCGGCTGCTCCCCATTTTCTGTGGCCGTTTGCGGTTCGGTACGCAGCGCATCAGATCAACCTTCAGCCCCGGGTCTCCTTGCCAGAGACCTCCCCCACCTTGCGGTGGACGGGGAAGGTTGGCGATGCGTCTGCGTTTCGTGTCTGGGGATCTCGGGCGTTTGTCCGTGACTTGTCTGCGGACAAGCTGTCCCCTCGTGCTGTTCCCTGCGTCTTCCTTGGCTTCCCCCCTGACGCGCGTGGTTGGCAGTTTTTCCACCCCACCTCGCGCCGTGTTCTGTCCTCCCAGGACGTCACCTTTGACGAGTCGGTTCCTTACTACCGTCTCTTCCCCTACCGCACTGCGCCCCTCCCCCCGCCGCCGCCCTTCCTTGCGCCAGGTCCCCCCCCGGTAGACCCTCTCCCCCCTCAGGGTCCTGCCCCGTCAGGTGTGTCCCAGGTAGACGCAATCGAGCCTATCGAGGTAGCTGTTGACTCTGGTGCTGCTAGGGGTGCTGAGCCTGCAGGTGCGGGGTCTGGGGGTGCTGAGCCTGGAGGTGCTGAGTCTGGGGGTGCTGAGCCTGGGGGTGCGGAGCCTGGGGGAGCGGAGCCTGGGGGTGCTGAGCCTGGGGGTGCGGAGCCTGGGGGTACTGGGTCTAATCGTGTGGCCTCTGGCGGTGCTGGGTCTGGGGGTCCTTCGGGTACTTCGTCTCGGCGGGAGCTACCCTCTCCACAGGAGCTGCGCGAGTGGTTTGCCAGGCGCTGGAGCCGTGCTGCTGGTGCTGGAGGTGCTGCTGTTGCTGCTGACCCTGAGGTCGGCGCTGGAGGTGCTGGAGCCACTGGTCCTGGAGGTGCTCGTACTGGCGGTACTGGAGCTGCTGGGACTGGGGGTGCTGCTGAGGCTGCTGGAGTTGGTCCTGCTGGAGCTGCTGCTGGTGCTGCTGGAGGTACTGGAGCTGCTGGTGCTGCTGGGGGTACTGGAGCTGCTGGGGGTGCTGGTGCTGGAGGTACTGCTGGCGCTGGTGCTTCTGAGGGTGTTGGAGTTGGCGCTGCTGGAGCTGGAGGTGCTGCTGGCGCTGGTGCTGTCGCTGGGGGTACTGGTGCTGTCCCTGCTGCTTCAGGAGGCGCTGCGCGGCCGCGGCCGTACTTCGTTCCGCTCCTTGAGCAGGTTCTTGGTCTCTCGCCTTCTACTGGTCCTCCTCCTCCCTTTGAGTGTCCACAGCCTGTCCAGTCGCAGTCACAGTTACAGCCCGCCTCCCCGCTGCCTGCTCCTTCTCCCTACACTGGTCCTACTGGAGGTCTTGCTGAGCGTCGTGCGCCTGCGTCTCGCCCTGCGTCGCCTGTTCGTGCTGCTCGCACTAGTGGTCGTGCTCCGCGTCCGCGTCCTCCTACGGTCCCAGGCACACACCAGATGGCACTGCGTCCTTCCACTGCTCCTCTGCGTGTCCCGTTGCCGTCTCCTCCAGAGTCCTCTCTTCCTGTTCTTGCTGACCCGGAGTCTGACTCTCTTCGTGCTACCAGTCCTACTGTCACGCGTCTCCTGGCCACTGTTGTCACTGACCCTTCCTTTGAGTCCACTGCTGCGTCTGCCTTAGTTGCTGAGCTTGTCGACTTTGCTGCTCGCTGTCGTCTGGACTACGCCGCTAGTCTCGTTGCTGAGTCTGAGTCTGTCTGTCCTCCTTCCGTCGGGGGTGAGTGTGCTCTTAGCACGGACGTCCTTGAGGACAGGCAGGAGGAGTTCCAGTGTTTTGCTGCTGCTTTGCCTCATCTCGTGTCCACATTGATTGCCCCTGAGGGAGACCTGGATGCACCAGACATCCCGACTCCTCGATCGTACGCTAAGGCGATCGAGGGTCCCTACTCCTCACAGTGGCAGTCAGCCATGGACGCAGAGATGGCCTCCTGGAAGTCCACAGGCACCTACGTCGACGAGGTTCCCCCACCTGGGGCGAACATCGTCAGTGGCATGTGGATTTTCAGGGTGAAGCGACCGCCGGGCTCTCCGCCTGTCTTCAAGGCGCGTTACGTGGCTCGAGGCTTCAGTCAGCAGCAGGGAGTTGACTACTTTCAGACCTTCTCTCCCACCCCGAAGATGACCACTCTTCGGGTGCTGCTGCACATAGCCGCTCAGCGTGACTACGAGCTTCACTCTCTTGACTTCAGCACAGCTTTCTTGCAGGGCAGCCTGCACGAGGAGATCTGGCTGCGTCGCCCACCTGGCTTCACTGGGTCGTTTCCTCCTGGTACCCAGTGGAGCCTCCGGCGGCCAGTCTACGGTCTCCGCCAGGCGCCCCGTGAGTGGCACGACACACTGAGGACTACACTTGCGGCTCTTGGGTTTGCTCCTTCTACTGCCGACCCGTCGCTGTTTCTGCGCACCGACACCTCTTTGCCGCCGTTCTACATCCTCGTGTACGTGGACGACTTGGTCTTTGCCACTGCTGACACTGCTGGACTCGCCCACGTGAAGTCCGAGCTGCAGAAGAGACACACGTGCACAGACCTGGGTGAACTGCGCAGCTACCTTGGCTTGCAGATCACCCGGGACAGAGCACAGCGCACCATTACCCTGACTCAGTCACACATGGTGCAGCAGGTCCTTCAGCGCTTCGACTTCACGTACTCCTCGCCTCAGGCCACTCCTCTGTCTACTCACCACTCGCTTTCAGCTCTGCCTTCAAATGAGTCCGTAGAGCCGAGTGGCCCGTACCCAGAGCTTGTTGGCTGCCTCATGTACCTGATGACCTGCACACGACCTGACCTTGCATACCCTCTTAGCATCCTGGCACGCTATGTTGCCCCTGGGAGACACCGACCAGAGCACATGGCTGCAGCGAAGAGGGTGTTGCGCTACTTGTGCAGTACGTCGGGCATGGGGCTAGTGCTTGGAGGGCGGCGTTCAGTGGTTCTCACAGGTCACGCAGACGCTTCTTGGGCTGACGACCAGGCTACGCAGCGGTCGTCTCAGGGTTACACCTTCAGCCTTGGTTCTGGCTCTGTTTCGTGGCGGTCTATCCGCTCGTCTTCTGTTCTTGGCTCCAGCTGTGAGGCTGAGATCTACGCGGGGGCCATGGCTGCACAGGAGCTACGCTGGCTCACCTACCTGCTGACTGACCTAGGAGAGCCGCCTCGTTCTCCTCCAGTTCTGTACGTAGACAACAAGGCCATGCTGGCCTTGTGTTGGGAGCACAGACTGGAGCACAGAACGAAGCACATTGCTCTTCGCTACTTCCTTGCTCGTGAGCTGCAGCAGCGTGGTCAGCTGCGCCTTGCTTACGTGGCCTCTGAGGCCAACACTGCTGATATCTTTACTAAGGCACTTCCGCCTTGTGGTCATCAGCGGTGCTGTACGATGCTATGTCTTGTGCCTACTTGGCCTCACTTACTCACTTCTTGACCTTGCTTGTACTGTGATCTATCTATACTTGCACTTGCTTGTTTACCTTTATATATGATCTTGCATGTGAACTGGCCTTGTGGCCTTGAACTTGTGCTCGGAATGTGTGGTGACATTGTGATCCACCCTGAGCTTGCTTTGCGTTGCTTGACTGGTCTTGTGACCCCTTGTTCTCCCCCACTTTGCCTATGGGGGTGTGTCAAACTTATATGCTATAGTCTGTGTGGGCTGTAGTGGGGTAGACAATATGGGGTACAACACTTTTAGGTTTTCCTACTTGTACCCACCTGTTTCCTAGTGCATTCATTCCTCGTTATTTCACATTCTCTTTTCTGAGCTCGATCCTAGATCCTCTCAACTATGGCTAAGGCTTCCTTGTCGTGTATGGGGTAGTTCAGTTCTACTCCGTGTAGCTTCTTACTGATGTAGGCGATAAGCTGTAAACCGTTCCCGCGATCTTGCATCAGTACTGCTCCGACTGCTTGGTCACTAGCGTCTGCTTGGTCACTAGCGTCTGCTTCAACTACGTAGTCCTTGTCTGGGTCCGGTAGGATGAGTACTGGCGCTGTAGTCAGTGCTGTCTGTAGCTGCTCCATGGCTTGCTGATGAGGAGTATCCCATTTGTAGGGCGTATCCTTTTTCAGTAGGTCGGTCAGTGGCGCTGCTATCTTAGCGTACTGCGGCACGAACCTGTTGTAGTAGTTGGCGAAGCCGAGGAACTGCTGGAACTCCTTTACGTTCTCCGGTACTTTCCATTTCTTGACGGCTTCGATCTTCCGCGGGTCCACGTGTACGCCCTCGGCACTCACCATGTGCCCGAGAAACTGCACCTTTTTCAGGGCGAAGTCGCTCTTTGACAACTTCACGTAGAACTTGTTTTTCCGCAGGATCTCGAACACCTTCCGCAGATGCTCCACGTGCTCCTTCATGTTCTTGGAGTATATAAGAATGTCGTCCAGGTACACCACTACGTAGTCGTCCAGCAGGGGTCGTAAGATGTGATTCATCTCCGCCTGAAACGTTGCTGGTGTATTGCAGAGTCCGAACGGCATCACCAAGTATTCGTAGGAGCCGTATCTGGTACGGAATGCCGTCTTGTGGACCGAGTTGTCTGCCATCTTGATCTGCCTGTAACCCGACCGTAGGTCCAGCTTCGAAAAGACTGTTGCATCACGCAGTTGGTCCAGTAGGTCGTCTATGTGCGGTATGGGATATTTGTTTTTAACTGTCTGTTTGTTCAGTGCGGGTAGTCGATGCACATCCGTAAACTGCCGTCTGGTTTTGGAGTGAAGAGAACTGGTGCACCGTAGGGAGAGGTGGATGGGCGGATCAGTTGTCTGTCCAGTAAATACTCTATCTGCTTCTTCATGTCTGTCAGTTCGGTCGGACTCGGTCGGTATGGTGCACATGAGACGGATTTCGCACCTGGTTCCTCCACGATCTCGTGCTCGTGGGTGCGTGCTGGAGGTACGCCGCGGGTAGGTCGTCGGGCATTATATCCTTGTACTGCTCCAAGACCTCCTTCACTGCTGCAGGTAGCTCCGAACTCAGATTCTCCTCCTCAGCTGCTACCATAGCCAGTGCTAAGTAACCCGTGTTACTCCCGTTCACCGTCCGTTCGAACCGTGCCAGTGTCGTTTCAGGAACGCTCCCTGTATCCGACCAGCTTCGCAGCTCCACTCGTTTCCCGTTGTTGTAGATGCACACCTTCCTGTTGACCCAGTCGATCTCGGGGTTGAAACGCTTCAAGAAATCTTGCCCCAAGATGAAATCTAGACCTTTAATATTCGTGATCGTCAACGTCGGCTTCCACCTCAGCACCCCTATGTGCAGCTGCAGTGATGCTTCGCCATGGATGGGAAGTTTTGTACCGTCCACCATTGTTGCCGTGAACTTGGTCTCCTCCGAAGATTCTCCAATTTTCCCCAACGTCCCGCGGTCGCACACCGAGTGAGACGCACCACTGTCCACCAGTGCCTGGAGGCGTCGCCCGTTGCAGATCACCTCGAGTACTAGTGGTTGTTTCCGCTCCGAATAATCGTAGATGGTCTCGCTTATAGGATCATAGGGTACGTCGAATATATCTCCCCTAGGTCTTGCGCTCGAAGCTGCTGACTCCATATCAGTTTTCAACTGAGTTGGGTTAGAAGGATTTATCCGAGGCCGATTCAGCTTCGTCTTGGCCTGGAACCTTCCCTTAAGCCTTTGCAGCTATGTAGGCTTCACCCGTGGGCAATCGGGAGCCTTAACACTGTGCTGCAGAGAGAGAATTGTAACTCCTTGGAACGCACGACCCTTTTCAACGCTCCGGAGTGGTTCGCCCAACTTCTCAGGTACCTGAATAATGTCTGAAGGCTTTTCCTTGGCCTCGAAATCTCCCCTGAATTTTTTAAAGGCTTGAAAACCTCGAGAGGGAATATTCTTATTCTCGCGGGTGTTCGGCTGGAGCTTCCCAGTCGGTGTAGAGTTTTGTTTCGCGGAGCCTCCATTTGTCTCGGCGATTTCCTCTATTGCCGGCCGGTCGTGCCATTTTAAATTCGTGCCATCGTGTCCTCCTTTTTTTCGCCATTGTGGATGTCGCACTGTTGTTGCCCTACAGCTCCGCTCGTGCCTTCTTCATTTTCCAACACGCTATGAGTCAATGTCCTGCTGTGCCGCAAAATTCGCACTTCTCATATTTTGTCGGCCGCTGCTTCGCGTCAATCTTGTCGATATCCATCGGGTCGGCAGTCGTGGGTGGTGCCGATCGCTCCGTGCCAAATGATCGGTTCGGCACGTGGCGTCGTGTCTCGGGTTGATCTCGCGTCAGCGCATCGAATCTCTCCGCTGCACACACCATGTCGCGGTAGTTGTTGTAGTTCGCGGTAATCACCTGTCGGCGGACTTCCTTCTTTAGCCCCTCAGTATACGCTTGGATTTTTTCCCCTTCGGTCAGGTCGGTAACCCGATTGAAGAGGCTCTCCTTTGCTGCGTGTACTATGTTACACTGCCGTACTGTGTATGCCGATGAATCTGCTGCCGCGCCATGTAGCTGGAGTTGATTGGTTCGAAACGTTGAATTAAAGCTTCCCGAAACTGCGTCCATGACCCCTCGCCTCGAACCTCGTTGCTATTGTAAATCCACTCGAGCGCCGGGCCTCGTAACAGTGTCGCTGCAAGCTGAATCTGCCGTGGCGGCTGCCGACTGGTTCGCGAGAAGTGCCTCTATTCGCTGGAGTGCCGCTCGCGTCTGGTCCAAGCCGGTGTGTAACTCCGTAATTTTTCGTACGGAATTATCACCATTTTCTTCATTTGGCGATTTACAGGAAGATTTGCGACGAAAATAATTGAATTCTAGGCGCTGGTAATCTTACTGTGAGTCGAATCGACCGTGTAAATGACGAGCGCTGATTCCGTAGGTTGCGTAATTCTCCCTTAAATGGAATTCGCGTCCGATCTCGGCCGTTGAGAAGAAATTCGATCCGACGCTCCAAATTCCATTTTTTTTGCGCGAAATTCTCAGGGCCGTTGAGATTCGAATCGATCCGACGGTCGAAACTCCAACTTTTTCGCCACAGGACCTGAGGAGTGTTCGAAAACCGGTTCGAGGGGGACGTTAGAAAATAGCGCGGAACTGGTTTACGTACCCGAAATCGGCGCTTTTCGTCATCGCCCCCGCGGTTTGAAAAGCTAGGTTTTAGCGGTCGAAAAACTTCGCATCTAAACAAGCTCTGATACCAAGTGTGAGGATCTAGGATCGAGCTCAGAAAAGAGAGTTTGAATTGAATGATTCACCTGGGTACAACACGAGGCTATATATAGTCTCGACACAAGGCCAGTTACCCAGGTGTTACGCGAATGTTCTGAGGGTCGCGAAGCGTCCCGAACAGGACCTTCCTGAACTCAGTAGAAAGCAATTCGGTGGAAACCGAATAGGCTTGAGTTCGGTACACGTAACCTGGTTCGGTGCTATAGCTATAATAAAATATAGGAATGCACCTAACCTAGGAAATCAAGTATATCTATGCATGACAAAAAAAACCCAAGCTAGATATAGCAAAATAAAGTCCAGGCAAGCTACAAAAGTCAGCATAAGCCGTCGTACTCTCACACTCTCCCTTACTGCTCTGTTGACGTCCCAATGGATGACGAAAATCCTCGCAAAAGCGTCAACGCCGAAGCATTTTACCACTTCGCCGACAACGGTTACATTACATCTGCACAAGTCAACACCGACGAAGGAGAACGCGTAGGACCAAATTTCAACCCAACACCAGAAGCGGGAGACGAAGCAGCTTATCCCGAGGACACGACACTTCCCCGCTACACTCAGAGTGGCCTCCAGATACTCGGCCTCGTCACCGCGGTCCACGGCACAGCGATTCCTAAGGAGCCTGCCACAGTTCAGCAAGCTCTGGGGGGGGAGCATAAGGAAAAATGGCGCGAAGCCATGGACAAGGAGCTGAAAGCGCTGGAAGAACGGAACACCTGGAAAGTCGTTCCCATCGGCGTGGCACGCAACAAAACGGTACTCACCGGAAAATGAGTTTTCTGTGTGAAGAAAAAGGCAGACGGCACCATCGACAAGTTTAAGGCGCGCTGGGTCGTGCGCGGCTTCGACCAAGAGCACGGACGCGATTTCACAAAGTCGTTCGCCCCGGTCAGCCGACACACTTCGCTCCGAATTCTCCTCGCGATCGCCGCCATGAAGAAGAAGAAGCTGCGGCAAATTGACGTCGCCAATGCATTTCTCTACGCACGTGTTGACGCCGAAATCTTCGTCGAACTTCCACACGGTTCAAATGGAGTGCCCAACCAAGTCTGTCAGCTGCTGAAGTCCCTGTACGATATTAAACAAGCCCCAAAACTGTGACAACAGCACCTTCGCGAACTGCTAGAAGAGGTGAAAATGGCCCAGTTACCCAGCTTCTCTCTATTCTGTGACAACCAGTCTGCAATTCGCATCGCGAACAGGACGAAGCACATCGCCTTGCGATATTTCTTTGTGAAGGACGAGATCG